GCTGCAGCCTGGCAGCACGTCAGCCACCAGCGTGGGCTGTGCCTGGGCTCGGGGACAGGAGGGGACACAAGGGGACAGGATCGCAGGGTGACTGCACGCAGCCTTCGTCCCGGGAAGGGGTTTCTCAGGCATCACCTCCTGCAAGGCAAGTGTGTTCCCAGCCCCTTCCCCCTGCGTGGGTTTGGGATGTGCTCTGGGGTGGGGAGCAGAAAGGAGCTGCTGAGCACAGCCCCGAGATCTGGGGGTGACAGAGGGGGGAGAGCAAAACTCTAACGAGCAATTAACTCCTCCAGCTTTTTCCTTGTGCCGCTCCCAGCACACGAGACGGTGTGTGCTACTCCTGGAGAGAGGCTCAGAGCCACAACCATTGAATTTCTCATTGAAACGGCTGATTCTGGCTTATTTTCCCCACTGGGATCAGCTCTGGGACCTGTTGCTGCTGGGAGCTGATCAGTGTGATGGTGCACGGCTCGAGGGGTGAGGGCTGTCACTTGCCAGGGCTCCTTGGGTGGAAGGTGCCTTGTGGGGTGTCCTGCATGAGCCTGGGGCTGGTTGCCCATCCTGGAGGTGTTCTGAGGGTGCTGGGCACAGGCAGAGGGGTGCCAGCCAGGGAGGAGCAGGAATAGAGGCTCCTGATTCCCCAGGTGGGAATGAATCGCGCAGTTAATTGGAAAGCTTGCTGAACACAGGGTGGCAAGTCCTGTGCTGGGAAAGAGAGGGAGATAATGCATGGAAATAGCCCAGGAAATTAAAGTTGGGCTGTGGCGGGTGCGAGATGATTCAGCGGGCAGGAGGGAGGCAGGGCTGTGCCGGGGGGTCCAGGGGGTCTGGCAGTCAGTGCTGTGTGTGGGGACCCAGCTGCCCATGGGCAGGGACCTGTCTGCCAGGACCCATCTAATTTTTACCCCTGAATTCCCTCCTTGCCCCCCCATCCCATTCCCTTCGCAGCTGATCCCATGGAAACATTGCTTTGGGCAGGATCATGTCGGGGTCTGTGGAAACACCTTGGCTGAGCCCCCCGAAATAGGGCAGGGACGGAGCCCAGGCTGGCTGCTGCCACACTCAGAGTTCGAGGGAAGCCTGGTTAATCTCACCGGGGGATGGATGATGGGGAGCAGGCACACGAGGCTTTGAGACAGTGCAAAACTACCAGAGCATCTTTATTCATTTATCCATTAACGTCCTTTGTTATTTCCAGAAACATTAGGAGCTATTTTCTGGCTCAGCTGCCACTTCCCTTTTCCTTCTGCCGGCAGCTGCCCCTCCACACCGGCAGGGCTGGGGCAGAGGCAGGGCTGCTGCCAAGACTTCGTTCCAAGGGGTGTTGGTGAGACCAGATTTTGGTTAAGTTCTTGCCCCAAGCCCTTGGTCAGCCCTACTGCTTTTCTCCTCCTTTTCCTCCTCCTGAGCTGTAGCTGCTGTTGAACCTGGGCTGTCTCTCCCTCCTGATGCAGGGCTGCTCCCCAGCATCACCCCTTTTTTGACCCTGATTTCTCAGTTTCCCTCCCCAGGAACCCACAGGACGAAGCCACTGTCCCAAGGAACCTCCCTGGGTGTGGGGCAGGGTCCTGTGCAGCTGCGGGAGGGGACAGCAATAGCAAAGCCATGACAGGCAGCAGGATGTGCCCCATGGACACCTGAAACCTGCAACTGCCAGATTTTGGGGTGCTGAAGCTGAAACGAGGGATTTCTCAGATCTCAGCCACAGCCATGGAGCCTGACAGGGACAGGGATGATGCCAATGCCACCGTCTACAAGCTGACCCTGCAGAACCACTCCAACGCCAGCGCACAGTTCACCGGGGTGCAGCTCATCCAGTCCTTCAAACCCCTCATCATCCCCTGCTACACCCTGGTCGTCCTCGTCGGCATCTTCGGCAACTACCTGCTCCTCTATGTCATCTGCAAGACCAAGAAGATGCACAACGTCACCAACTTCTTCATTGGGAACCTGGCGTTCTCTGACATGCTGATGTGCACCACGTGCGTGCCCTTCACCCTGGCCTACGCCTTCAACCCCCAGGGCTGGGTTTTTGGGAAGTTTCTGTGCTATTTTGTTTTCCTGATGCAGCCCATGACGGTCTACGTCTCCGTCTTCACGCTCACGGCCATCGCAGTTGACAGGTAAGGTGCTGGTGGGGCAGATGGTTTAGGGGTCTGGGTCTGTCCCCCCGAGGCTGCTGCTCTCTTGGCTTGGGGTGTCACACACCAAACACCCCAAATGGGGAGGGGAAGGCTCCGGGGGATGTTTGCAGTCCATCTGCAGCCTCTTCTTTAGCATCAGGACTCGGTCTCGGGTGCAGGAAGCGCAGTGGGGATGTCTGGCCGGCTGCTGGTTTGCATCAGGGAACTGATGTTGTGCAGTTTCCCACCTGCCCGCGTGAGCCATCGCTGCTGAAATCCAGGCTCTCTGTGGCCACGTCTGTGCTCCCGGCACACCCAGCTCTGGCACAAGGGCAGCTGGAGTTTGTACCCCGTTCTTTGTACTTTGCTGGATACGTTTGCAGCTGAATCACCCCACGTTCTGGCCCCTGGCTGGCTGGAGAGCACTTGTGCCTCCTGGAGTGCGCTGGGCAGGGGCTGACGGGGGGGTTGTTTCTAAAACCCGTGTTTCCATAGAGATCTCCTCTCATCAGTGATGCTCCAGACCCTGCAGGACCGGGTGCGATGCCGGCAGCGCTGAGAGTGCCCCTTGCGCTTCTGCCCATGAGGGAGAGCGGGGCAGGATCAGGATGGGAATGGCACAAAAACCAAACCAAAGGAAGTTTGGGGTGGAATAGCTGAGAAAGCCGGGATTGCTGGTGGAGCCGTGCTGCCCTCGCCGGGGGCTTGTCCCCAGGAGTGCCAGTGTTCTTCTTTTGATCTTCAACAAAGCCCTTTCTGGGGGTTGATTTCCTTGTTTCTCCTGCTAAAGAGGCAGAACAAGTTACCCTGTCCCCAGCACGTTCATAAAACATCATTGGGATTTGTCACAAATGGACAAC